CTGTGTGTGCTGGTATTGTTTTTTCTCTTAGATCACCTCCCTTTCTGAGATTCCATCCTTTCCCTCCAGGGGTGGGCAAACTTTTTGACTCGAGGGCTACAATGGGTTCTTAAACTGGACCGGAGGGCCGGAACAAAAGCATGGATGGAGTGTTTGTGTGAACTAATATAAATTCAAAGTAAACATCATTACATAAAAGGGTATGGTCTTTTTTTTTTTTAGTTTTATTCATTTCAAACGGGCCGCATCCGGCCCGCGGGCTGTAGTTTGCCCACGGCTGCCCTAGACTCTTCTACTTATCCAATTTTCATTCATTTATTAGCAGTTTTTTAAAAAAGCTTTTCCTGTGCCAGAACAATTGCCAGGTCCTGACATAAAACTGTAACAAGATAGAGCCCCTGCCCTTTTTCTCAGAGGACAAGACAGATGTCAGTCAGATGGCACTGTTGGGGCTAGGGCCCCCCCCCCCGGTCCCCCCGGGCAGTCTGAAAAGGCTTCTAAGAGGAGGGGATTCATTTCTCGTAGCTTTTCTATTGTCTCTCATCTTCTGAAGTTACCTATTCCTAGAAGCCCTGCTCTGTTAACTTTTCTTCTCTCTTCCTGTCTCATTTAAAAATAATTTGCTTGTCTATTAAAACAAAATAAAATTTAGACAAAGACATAAATGAGGATTGATCATTTTAAAGGAGAAATAGCAAAAATGATAGGAGTTAGTTAACACACCAGTGTTAATTGGTTTTTAACTGGTAGCTATATTTCTGATGAGAAAAGTCCAAAGGCGACTTACCTCCAATCTTTAAACTAGAGGCCCGGTGCATGGGTAGGGCCCCTAGGCCTGGCCTGCGATCAGGGCCGATCAGGGCCTTCCAGCTGCCAGCCGGGGCCTTCCTTCCCTGGCTGCCAGCTGGGGCCTTCATTAGTTTCGCACCACCCCCTGGTGGTCAGTGCATGTCATAGTGATTGATCGAACTCCTGGTCTCCCAGTTGAACTCCCAAGGGGACACTTTGCATATTATATTAGCCTTTTATATATATAGATAATAGTTAACATTTATGAGCCGTTCGTATGTGTCAGGCATTAAATAATTACTTTATGTTCATTGTATTACAGTGAAATGCACAAATGTGAAAACTCTTAACCCTCACTACTCCTCGCCCTCATTATCACAAGCACCCGGTTCTCTAAAGCAGCGGTCGCCAACTGGTGGTCCGTGAAGTCCGAAAGGTTGGTGACCGCTGCTCTAAAGTGAACTGAAGATGAGTCTGCGAGTGGCTGAGCACAATGAACACCAAGATTAGAACTTTCAGTTCACTGACTTGCAACTCGTGGGAGAATGGGGAGGTGAATATAGTATGAGATATATATATATTCAGTGTTGCAGTTGTCTTGATTTTTATTTTAAAGTCGCAATATATAATTCATTTTGAAATTTCAAATAACTCTGGAAAGAGGACATCGGATATTTATGTTTTCAAAACCATATATTTTTAAAATTACATTTATTGGGGTGGCGTTGGTCCACAGGAACATACAGGTTTCGGGTGTGGGTTTCTGTGTGGCAGGAGCTGTGTATTGCACCGCGTGCCCCCCTCCCAGAGTCAGATCCCCTCCTGTCACCTCATAGTAGGCGCCCTTCTCCGCATCCCCCGCTCCGGCCCCCACCACATGCTGTAGTGTCCGCGCGTGTCCCTTTTATACCCACACGAGTGAGGTCACAGGGTCCCCGCTGGTTCTGACTGACTGACTGCACTCAGCATCATGTTCTCAAGGTCCATCCACGCTGTTGCAGATGGTGCTGTTTCAGCCTTTCTTATTGCTGAGTAGTATCCACTGTGTGTTTGACCCAGGAGTTCCTCTCCTGGGCATATATCTGAAAATCTGAAACACGTATTCACAAAGATAGAGGCACCCTGTGTTTGTTGCAGCATTATTCACTGTGGCCACGGCATGCAAACAGCCACAGTGTCCTGCCATAGAGGACTGGATAAAACCATGATTTTTTTAAAGCTTCCTGAAAACACTGCTCTTAATCTATTTTGAGGTTCTCTCATTCCTATATTTGTTGTATTCTGTATTAGAAATTTATAAAGAATGCCTTTTTTCTTGTTTTTATGTATTCTTATCCATTCCATTTATAGTTTTTCCTACTTACTTGAAGGAAGAAACATTAAGCAAAGGAAAATGGTTGATTTTGATGGGCTGTCTTCCCTCTACCCTCATTCTAATTGACTATTTTGTGGGAGTGGTAAATTCAAATGCTATTTCGTATTTAGTAGTCTCTTGAGTTGAGTGGTAACACATTTTTTTTAATGTTGAAAATCAACTTTCTTGGGGTACAATTTACATAAAATAAGATGTATCCATTTTAGATGTGCAGTTCAGTAAGTTTTGACAAATGAATATACTCATGTAACCATTACCTTAAGTACAGGACATTTCCATCACCCCCCAAATTCCTTAATGTTCCTTTGCACTCATTCTCCCCACTCTGCCCCTAGGCAGTCACTAATCTGATTTTTGTTACTATAGTTTAGTTTTGTCTGTTTTACATTGGAATCATGGTGTTCACTGTCTTTTGTATCTGCTGTCCATTGCTCAGCATAATGTTTTTTTGATTCATTTGTTTGTTGCATATATGCCTAGTTCTAGTTTTATTTCCTAGTTTGGGGCTTTTATGAATAAAAAACTGTTATGAACATTTGTCTACCATTCTTTATGTACAAAGGAGTTTTCATTTCTCTTGGGAATGAAATTGCTGGGTCAGATATAAATACATGTTGAAATTTCTGAACTGTTTTTCAAAGTGTACCATTTGACACTCCCACAGGATGTATGAACATTCTAGTTGCTCCACAGCTGTTGCCAGCACTTGGTATTGTCACTCCTGTTTTTAGCCATTTCAGTTAGTGTATATGGCATCTCAGTGTGATTTTAATTGACATTTTTCTGATGACTGCAGATATTGAGCACCTTTGCATGTGCTTATCACGCATTGGTATTTCTTTCTTTGTGATTTGTTTATTCAAATCTTTTGTCCCTTTTAAAGCAGCGGTTGCCAACTGGCAGTGCTTTAAACTACCAGTTTAAATGTTGGTTTCACTTACCACATCATTCTAAAAGGGAAAAAAAGTCCTTTTAAAAAAAAAAAAGTCTTCCATTTTTAAATTGTAGAGTTTTTTTAAATATGTTATTGGATATAAACTAACATATTTGTTTTGTGAATATTTTCTCGCAGTCTTTGGCTTGCCTTTTCATTTTCTTAGTGTCTTTTAGAAGAGCAGATGTTCTAAATTTTTAGTTCAATTTACTAGTTTTTTTTCTTTTTTAGTTGGTACATTTTGCATCCTCAACTATCTCTGCCTACCCTAAGGTCTTGGAGATTTTTTTCTGTGTTTTCTCATGAAATATTTTAGCTTCATGTTTAGGTCCATGATCTGCTTAAGTTAAATTTTATATAGGGTTATGAGTTAAAATTTAAGGTTCATATTTTTCATGCTGGCATCTAGTTATTTCCTTTCATCTGCAGTAGCTCAAATACTTGTGACATTCCATTAACAGCAAGAAATATATATAGAAATATGCAGTCTTTAACATACTCTTTGTTTTGTAAAAGATCATGGCTCTGTATAAAAATTTTTATTTTGAAGAATATTTTCTAACCATTGTTATACCTGCTGTTTTACAGCTGTTTATATATTGATTTTTATATGTTTTTATTGATTTTAAAGAGGAAGGGAGAGGGATAGAAACATCCATTGGCTGCCTCCTGAACGCCCCCTACTGGGGATTAAGCCACAACTTGGATTTGTACCCTGACTTGGAATCTAACCAGTGACCTCTGATGCATGAGATGATGCTCAACTAACTGAGCCACACCAGCTAGGGCTGTATATTGATTTTTGGTGAAATGATTAGATTCTGTAAAACTGAAAGTATGTATTAAGTCTTTGGTTAACACAGAGTTGAGGATCTTCATATCTGATCCGTAATAAAAGAGCTGGGCACTAACCAGGCTTCTTCTGTTGTGGGACATCCCTGTCCTCTGACGGGGTCCTCTTCCTCTCACCCTGCCTTGACAATTTCCATTTGCTGTTTAACTGGAAGGAAAATAAATGCTCCTGGAGGAATCAGGTCAGTATATGAAAGAGATAAAAGAGTTGGTTGACCTCACAGATTCTTTATCTTTTCTACTTTTTTCTCTTTTCTATTTATTTTTTCTTTGAGCCAAGGTTTTCTGCCCTTTGCAGCTTTCCCTTTTTTCTCTTTCTTTTGGGAGAAAAGCTGCAGGCGCTCTGCAAGCACCTCCTTTATATAGTCTGTGTTTCTGAGTATATTTCCCTGAGAGTGAAATTGGATTTCTCTAGAATTTACTATGGGCTGCTTCTAGCTTAATGTCCCAAAATGTTTTGGTTGTTGTTTTTTGGGGAGAAGGGGGGTTGGTGGTTAAGAGCACCAAAACACAGGGTGGTAGGGGAGGATTTTATGTTACGAATAATAGCACAGATGTCTCCTCTCTAATACCCTCTCTTTCCCGTTTGCCAGAGCTGTTGTTCATCTCGGGCCCATTCTACGCCGCCTCTCCAGTGAGAGACCTATATATAGATATATATGGCTTTGTGATGTTCTTATGTTTGTTTTGTTCATGGGGTTAGTGCTCTTATTTTATATACTAGAGGCCCGATGCATGAAATTCGTGCAAGAGTAGGCCTTCCTTCCCCGGCTGCTGGCACCGGCTTCCCTCCGGCACCCAGGACCCAGGCTTCCCTGTGGCCGCCAGCAGGCACCCGGCACCTGGGACCCGGGCTTCTCTCGCAGCCCTGGCTTCATCCGGAAGGTCATCCGGTCTAATTAGCATATTACGCTTTTATTATTATAGATGGGTTTCATGTGCTACCTTGTATTTCTCCAGAAAGAATACAGTTCATTGCTACTATGTAATTATTATCCTTTTTCTCTTTGTTTCTCTCTTCCTTCTCTCTGTCCTGTGGTTCCTGTGCAGGTCTTGTTCAGCGCTGTGTGATCATCCAGAAGGGTGACAATGGATTTGGGCTGACGGTCAGTGGAGACAACCCAGTCTTCGTACAGTCTGTCAAAGAAGGCAAGGCATTTTAAAACTGTCTTGTCACTCGAGAGCAGAGTAAGAACAGAAAAGTATAAATAAAATCTATTGCACAGAATGACACAGCCATGTACAGTGCAGGTTATGTAACCTGTGGTGCTAGATTTGTTTTCAGTGTCATAGTTTTAGGCATGAATTCCCCCCAAGTTGATTTTCTTTGCACTTTATATATAGTTTTAGAAATCATAATACTCTTTGTCGTGATACTTTATGCATCATCACTTATAGAGGTTTGTTGAATATTATTTCTTTAGAGTTGTTTGGTAGAGACAGATTAAGCAGATGGTTATAGGCTCAAAAATATCTTATTTTTTTTCCAAAACAACAACCGTATCTTTTACTGCTATTACAAGATATACTTACTTCATGTTGGGTGCTGTAATTTGAGGTAGTATTTTTTTATTCCCATTTTATAGGTGATATTGAGGCTTAGAGTAAAAAAACATAAAATCAGTACAAGGTCACACAACTAGTGAGTGGCAGGGGCCACATTTGAATCTAAGTCTGACTTTACAGCCCATGATCATAAGCACTTTATTACGCTCCTCTCTTTCAAAAACATTGTCAATCAATGCAAATGAGTTACATTTTAATTAATTAGTTTCTCTTACAGATGGAGCAGCCATGCGGGCTGGAGTACAGACAGGTGATCGAATCATCAAGGTAAGGAAACGACTACTATAGAATTTATGGTAGAATTAAAAAAAAAAAACCAGCATCTATTAGCCATATTTTTATTTTTTTCACTTGGATTTTTGTAAAATGCAGCACATTATGTATGTTGGATTTGTGGGCTATACAAACTCACTTAAAAAAATTAATATTACCCTATACTGAAAGGCATAAAAAGGGCTTGAATAAATGGAGTCATATATGTTCCTGGGTAGGAATGTAATTCACTGTTGTAAAGATCATTTCTCTCCATATTATTTTTTAACAAGTAATTCTCATTAAAATATACTATTAGAATTGGGGAGGTATGCTATTACTTGTCTGATTATTCTTTCAAATGAACTTTACAAAGGTATGAGAATCGCTAATGAAAAAAGTGTTCTGTGTGTGGGTTTGTGTGAGGTGACAGGTGTGGATTAATGAAGGCAGTGGCCCTGGTCTGGTGTGGATCTATCGGTGGAACAGAGAGCCCAGAGCAGCCTTGAATCTGACCAGGAGGAAAGAATGGGTTAGTTAGTAATGACACTTGAGATACTTGACTCATTTGATTTCTTGAAACAAAATTACTATGCAGGAAAAGACACCATGAACATACTTACAAAGAACAATCTGGAAAAAATACTTGAAACATATTACAGAGTATATCCTTAATTATAAGGAGCACTTTTCAATTACTAAGAAAAGAATAAACTAATAGAAAAATGGGCAAATAATTTTATCAGGCAATTCCCCAAAGTAATTGAAATAAGTAATATATTAATAAGAATATGTCCAACCTCACTACTAAATTAAAGATACGTGAAAATATATTTGGTTGTCAGAAATTTTAAAGATTGATACTATGTATTAGGTATAGTTTGGGTATGGTAAAATAGCTACTCTCATAAGCTAGTCGTGAGTATAAATTAGGTAAAATCTGGATGGAAATTTGTGAATATGTATAAAAAATTATATACTCTAAGTAAGTATATTACCTTTGACCAGCAATTTTGCTTTTAGGAATATATCTAAAGAAATAAGTGTACAACCCTGAAATGTGTACAGGGAAATTCATTTTAGCTTCATCATATTGACAACTTATAAACAACCTAAATATGCATAATCTGAGAGCTAGAGAAATAAATTACATTTTATCTGCAGCTTTGAAGAATGTGTATACTTCTAATGAAAGATATACAAAATGCAGTGAAAAGTATTTCTTTACAGAAAAAGACAGTAATACTTTATGTTTTGTGCGTCTATGTATGTGGTGTGTATGTGCTAGGATAGTGTCCAGGATTAAACGTCATGATTACCAGAGGTGGTCTCTGGCGGTCATGATGAGTGTACCTGTACTTCTGTCTTATACACTGATAGTATTTTAACTTATCAAAATCAGAGAAAAATTAGTTTTAATGTTAGATCCCTGTTTGATATTTTTACCTTACTTTGTTTTGTTCAGTGGAGACTTTGGATAATATTTCCTACATGTAGCCTCTCTGAAAATACTTTCTTTGTAAAAATTAGGTCATAATTGGGAAACTAAAAGTAAGTTGAATATTATTTTGGAAATAATTTTTTTATCTTTTAACAATGCATTATGATTTTAACAAACCACTGAATTTATAATTAAAGGCAAAGAGATATTTTCTATTTGCAAGAGCCCTCCACTGTCTAGGCTGGTAAATCTGTGGTAAGTTATGTTCCATTATCTGTCATGGTGAATATGCTGCAAGGCCCTTTCAGTCAGGCCTGGTTTTGTATTCACGTTCATTTTGTTGCCGAGTATATCTTATGGGACAGCAGTAAAAATGAATATTGAATCATGCATATACATGTTTTAGTATATACATAGCCCCATCTCCTATATTATAATTGATTGTGCTAGGCATAATAATTCCTGAGATCAGTTCACCCATGTGTCTGTAGAGTGTATCTGACATGCACTGTTTTCATTTTCTTGCAGGTGAATGGGACTCTGGTGACCCATTCAAACCATTTGGAGGTGGTCAAGTTAATCAAATGTAGGTGAATGTTACCGTTGTGTTTCTGAAACCCTGAAGCAAGGGTCAGCAAACACGTTCTGTAATAGATCAGATAGTAAATATTTTAGGCTTTGTGGGCCCCATGGTTTACAATGTGACTTAGTCATTGTAGCACAAAAACAGCCCTGTACAGTATGTAAATGAATGGGTGTGGCTGGGTTTCAATAAAGCTTTATTTGCCAAAATAGTTTGTGGGCTAGGTTAAGCTGCTTGGCTATAGTTTGATAAGTCCTGCATTAAAGGAAAATCTGAGGTGAAAATTCTTAACCAAATACTTCTTTCCTGTCACTTCATAGATATGGTTGGTTATGCTGTCCTTGTCATCTTGGTAATATTGAAAGCATATATTTGAAAGAAATGTCTAAGCCACCTGAGAGGGGGAAGATTGGACACAATGGCCTAGATCAGTCGTCGGCAAACCGCGGCTCGCGAGCCACATGTGGCTCTTTGGCCCCTGAGTGTGGTTCTTCCACAAAATATCGACTTCTGCGCATGGGCCACGAAGTTTCAATCGCACTGTACGTGCGCACCCGCACGTGGTATTTTGTGGAAGAGCCACACTCAAGGGGCTGAAGAGCCGCATGTGGCTCGCCAGCTGCAGTTTGCCGACCATGGGCCTAGGTGGACGGAAACCCTTAAAAAATGTATATACTTAAAATTCCCCCAAATGATAGTACTTATGACCATTAAGTGTAAAAATAAAACGTTTTTAGCATCTCAAACATGATGAAATAACTGATAGTGAGTTCCATAGCTAGTGTTAAATTGCCAAAAATATTGTGAAAAACTATACATTTAAAAGTTCTATTGAAAAGTCTAAGAGAAAGATTTTTGTCATTTAAAGATCAGTTACCTAAAGAAGTTATTTACTTGGAAAGTCTCATTTCTTCTTCATGCTAGATAACTAAATAATGTCTTCTGTCGAGTCTTTCTGGTCATGGTTAATTTTGCTTTCTGTCTTCTCCAAATATATATATGTCTTATGGTGTAACAGACTTTATCTATTTATTGTTGAGAGTATTACACAAGGTCCCCCATTGCCCCCTCCACCCTGGTCCGCACCCCACCAGGCCTTCAGCACACTATGGTCTGTGTCCATGGGTTATGTATAGATGCTTACAAGTTCTTTGGTTAATCTCTGCCTGCCAACCCTCCACCCTTCCCTCTGAGATCCATCAGTGTGTGCCATGCGTCTCAGTTCCTGGATCTATTTTGTTTGTTGGTTTATTCTATTCATTAGATTCTGTATGAGTGGGATCACATGACACTTGTCTTTCTCTGACTGGCTTATTTGCTTAGCATAATGCTCTCCAGGTCCCTCCAGGCTGTCTCAAAGGGTAAAAGATTCTTCTTTTTCATAGCTACATTAAAGGCCCAGTGCACGAATTCGTGCACCAGTGGGGGGTCCCTCAGCCTGGCTTGCAGGATTGGGCCAAAACCAGCTCTCTGACATCTCCCGAGGGGTCCTGGATTGTGAGAGGGCTCAGGCCAGGCCTCGGGACCCCACCAGTGCACGATTTGGGCTGGGGAGGGACCACGGGAGGGCTCCAGGGCATATCTGGCCCTGTCTCACCTAGTCCCAATCAGAGCCGATCAGGGCCATCTCGCCAAGTCCCGATTGGGCTGGCCAGGGCGGGATGTAGGAGGTTGGCTCCAGGGCATGTCCAGCCCGTCTCACTCAGTCCCAATCGGCTGGATCCCAGCAGCAAGCTAACCTACAGGTTGGAGTGTCTGCCCCCTGGTGGTCAGTGCACATCATAGTGAGCGGTTGAGCGGCCTTAGCATATTATTAGCATACTAGAAGCCTGGTGCACGAAATTTCTGCATTGGAGAGCAGGTCCCTCAGCCCAGCCTGCGCTCTCTCACAGTCTGGGACCCCTCGGGAGATGTAGCACAGGGAGTGCAACATACCCTGGAGCCCTCCTGTGGTCCCTCCCCAGCTGGCCAACCTCCTACGTCCCTCCCTGTGCCAAGCAGCAGGCAGCCAGGAAGGAGCCTGAATTGGGGCCAGGCGCCACTCGCACCCACCTTGGCCTGCTGCGCCTGCTGCTGCAGAGTCTGGAGAGACTCCCAACATCATGGCAGCTGCGCTCGCCAGCCATGAGCCCAGCTTCTGGCTGAGTGGCGCTCCCCCTGTGGGAGTGCACTGACCACCAGGGGGCAGTTCCTGCGCCTGCCCCCGGTGGTCAGTGCACGTCATAGCAACCAGTCGTTCTGGTCATTCCACTATAATGGTCGCTTAGGCTTTTATTATATAGGCTAGAGGCCCGGTGCATGAATTCATGCACCAGTGGAGTCCCTTGACCTGGCCTGCAGGATTGGGCCAAAACTGGCTCTCCAACATCCCCCAAGGGGTCCCGGATTGCGAGAGGGCACGGGCCAGGCCAAGGGACCCCACCGGTGCACAATCAGGAGGTTGACCAGCTGGGTAGGGACCGTAGGAGGGCTCCAGGGCATGTCCAACCCGTCTCGCTTAGTCCCAATTGGCCGGACTCTAGCAGCAAGCTAACCTACTGGTCAGAGCGTCTGCCCCCTGGTGGTCAGTGCACTTCATAGCAACTGGTTGACCGGTTGACTGTCTGCCCCCTGGTGGTCAGTGCACATCATAGCAAGTGGTTGAGCAGCCTTAGCATATAATTAACACATTACACTTTGATTGGTTGAACAGACGACTGGATGACTGGACACTTAGCATATTAGGCTTTTGTTATATAGGGATAGTATTCTATTATGTAAATGTACTACAGTTTTTTTTATTCACTCATCTACTGATGGGCACTTGGGCTGTTTCCAGATCTTAGCTATTATAAATTGTGCTGCTATGAACATAGGGGTGCTTATATTCTTTTTGTTTGGTGTTTCGGGGTTCTTAGGATATATTCCTAAAAGTGGGATCACTGAGTCAAATGATAGTTCTATTTTTAGTTTTTTGAGGGAACTCCATACTGTTCTCCATAGTGGCTGCACCAGTCTGCATTCTCTTTTCTCCACATCCTCGCCAGCATTTGTTGTTTCTTGATGGCAGCCATTCTTGGTAACACTGGCATGTGAGTGATGACTTATTGTTGTTTTAGTTTGTATCTCTCTGATGATTAGTGACACTGAGCATTTGCTCATGCCTCGTTCCCGTCCATATGTCCCCTTTGGAGAAATGTCTGACCTTCGCCCATTTTTTAAATTGGATTGTTTGTCTTTCTTTTGTTGAGTTGTATGAGTTCTTTATATATTTTGGAAATTAACCCCTATGAGATGTATCATTGGTAAATATGTTCTCCCATACAATGGGTTCCTTTTGCATTTTGAGGATGGTTTCTTTAGCCGTACAGAAACTTTATAGTTTGATGTAGTGCTATTTATGATTTTTTTTTCTCTTGCCATAGGAGATGTTTCTGTGAAAATTCTGTTACATGAGATGTCTAAGATTTTGCGGCCTATGCTTTCTCCTAAGATTTTTATGGTTTCATGACTTACAATTAAGTCTTTTATCCATGTGGAGTTCATTCTAGTGTATGGCTTAAGTTGGTGGTCTGGTTTCATATTTTTGCATGTACCTGCACAGTTTTCCCAACACTATTTATTCAAGAGACTGCCTTTACTCCAGTGTATGCTCTTGCCTCCTTTGTCAACTATTAAATGAGCATGAAGGCTTGGGTCAGTTTCTGTTCCTTTCCATTGATCTCTATGCCTGTTCTTGTGCCAGTGCCAGGCCAGTACTCTGGCTTTGTAGTGTAGCTTGACATCCGGTATTGTGATCCCTCCAGCTTTGTTTTTCTTTCTCAAGTGTGTGAGGGTTATTTGGTTTTTTGGTTTTTTTGGGTTTTTTTGGGTTTTTTTTTTTTTGTTCCATATAAATTTTGGGATTGTTCTTGATCTGTGAACCTTGGTATTTTAATAGGGAGTGCATTGAATCTATAGATTTATTTGGGTGGTATGGACATTTTAATGATGTTAATTTTACCAATCCATGAACACTGAATATGGTTGCACTTGTTTGTATCTTCCTCTGTTTCTTTTTTCAGTGTCCTATAGTTTTCTTAGTATAGGTCTATTATGCCCTTGGTTAAGTTTATTCCTGTTACCTTATTTTTTTAGCTGCAGTGGTAAAAGGGATTTTTTTTTAGTTTCTAAATCAGAGATCATTATTTGTATATTAAAATGCCATTGAGCCCTAGCTGGTTTTGCTCAGTGGATAGAACATCGGCTTGTGGACTGAAGATTCCCAGGTTCGATTCCGGTCAGGGGCACATGCCTGGGTTGTGGTCTCAATCTCTAGTCGGGGGTGTGCAGGAGGCAGCCGATCAATTAATCTCTCTCATCATTGATGTTTCTATCTATCTCTCCCGCTCCCTTTCTCTCTGAAATCAATAAAAATATATTTTTAAAAAATGCCATTGATATCTGGATATGAATTTTATATCCTGCTACTTTGACAAATTCACTTATTAACTCTAGTAGTTGTTTTTTGTTGTTTATTTTGGATTCTGTAGTCTTTGCTGTGTAGAATATCAGGTCATCTTATGAAATAAAAGGCTATTATGCAAATCGACCAAACAATGGAATGACCATCACTATGACATGCACTGACTACCAGGGGGCAGACGCTCAATGCAGGAGCTGCCCCCTGGTGGTCAGTGCGCTCCCACAGGGGGAGCGCTGCTCAGCAACAAGCCGGGCTCATGGATGGCAAAGTGCAGCTGTGTGGCGGGAGCCTCTCCCGCCTCCACGGCAGTGCTAAGGACCCCTTGGGGGATGTCCTACTGCCGGCTTATGGTTTCTCACAGTATTTTTTTTAGAATACTTTGAATAGTATTTTTTAGAATACTTTGAATTTCTGTGGTGTCAGTTGTTCAACTCTTTCATTTCTGATTCTGTTTATTTGAGCCCTTTCTGTTTTTTGATGAGTCTAGCTAAAGGTTCATCAATCTTGTTTATCTTTTCAAAGAACTAGCTCTAGGTTTCATTGCTCTTTTTGTTTTGTT